GGGGGGCGGGGGGCGGGGGGCGGACATCTATGCTGATTACATAAGAGTGAATTTACCTCGCATATAACACATTATGGGTCTAAATATGCTCATTGCATAAGAACAAATTCACATATAAAGAACCCGCATAAATTGAGGGAAACCTGTATGTTGATCGGTTAGTTTTTTTGGTGAGATTTATTGGTTAATTAAAAACTAACAAGGTTTTATTTGTATTTCTTATTTTGGGTTACTCATTTGAGTTGCTTCCAATGGCATATTACTTTGTCAGGCTTCCATTTGCTTTCTGTAAGCTGTCCCCATATCTGAGCAATGCTGAGTTTGGGGCCTTCAGTAACTGTGAAGCAGGGTCAGGATTTTACTTTGTGGAAGATGCACAGATATATCCACAGAAAGGATATGTTCTGAGATTTATGTTATAAGGCAGGAATATTTCACAAGACAATTTTGCCTGCAGATAGCATGCGCTATCTAATGGCAATGGTGCTCCATAACACATACTGGGAACCCCTTGAAAAAAAATTGTTGTGGGAGAAGATTGGGGATTAACCAATACAAAAAAAAGTATTGAATTGCTCAAGATGACTGAGGTGTTATTATTGTGCTTAGGGTCCTACTGGTGAGACTGGGCCAATTGGTGAAAGAGGTCACCCAGGTCCTCCAGGCCCACCGGGGGAACAAGGCCTTCCAGGTGCTGCAGGGAAGGAAGGCGCTAAGGTATTATATTGCTTTTTGAAAGTGAGTTGCAGAGGTGATAAATGGGCTTGCAAAGATATACTTTTTATGTCCCTACCAACTATAGAATAGAACAAGATTTCCCACAAATGAGCACATCTTAGCAGCTTGCCAAAATTAAAGGCCCTCATTTAGCACTGCTCCTGCTCCCAGTGAAGAAGGGAAGATTTGCTTTTGGCTTCACTGAGAGTAGGGTTGAGTCAATAGTTGGGGATAAGAGTGGTTTGCATATGGCCACATATTTATTATTGTACTATGGGGCCACAGGTACATTTGTACTCAAGTCAAGTTAATGTAACTTAGGTATAAATTTAAGGTACTCATAAATTAAGTTTAGGGGACTGTGGAGTACCTGGATGGAAGCATTGATGAATTAGGTGGATGGATATTATTTGTCATTCAGTTAACCAGAATTTGGCATGTTATTACACATGGGTTAATAAATTTTTATTTTTAAACTTCTGCATTTATTACCATGTAATATGCTTTCACAGGGTGATCCAGGTCCTCAAGGCATCTCTGGAAAAGATGGGCCAGCAGGTCTTCGTGGTTTTCCAGGAGAAAGAGGCCTTCCAGGAGCTCAGGTACTGTATAGACACAGATGAGAACTGTGGCAAACAGTATTTGCATAGCATTCAAGAGGACAGTGTAGTAAGCCTTTCTTTACAGCAAGTTTTTCACTCTGGCCAGAAAATAAAGTCCATGGAGAACACCGTAAGGGCCAAATTTCAACTGCTGTTCATCCAATGGTGCTAATGTATTAAGTCATTTCCCCTTAGGTTTTTAAAATCTTTCCTATTAAATATGTTATGAAGTAAAGCTTCTTCATTTTTCTCTGTGTAATATGCTTCTCTCCTTTTTTTAGGGCCCAGCTGGTTTAAAAGGAGGAGAAGGCCCACAAGGCCCACCTGGACCAATTGTAAGAAACTAAAATAAATATTAAACTCCATTTTCATTTTTTCATATAGTTTTGTTTCCGTCAACAGAGCCTGTTGAAAACAGCAAGCTAGCCTAAGCTATTCAAATCAATAAGTATTTTCTGTTAATGAACCTATACATGTAAGGAATGTGAAGGTACTGAAAAAACTGAAACTGGTACTAATAGCAAGTAAAACAGTGAATTATTTCTGAGCATTGCCAAACATCTTTAAAAGAAGGGGTGAGATACTGGAGAAGTAAGATACTGTGGAGTGAGATACTGGAGGACTGTGCTGTACTGTGGCTTCTTTCAGAAGAGAATATGTACAAACACTTGTTCTCCCAGGAGTAAGTCTCCTGGGAGAGGTCTAACCCTGGTTGTTCCCAGGTTTTTTTCTCCTGGAACAGCCTTTTTTTTTGTCTGAGGGGAGTGGCAGAGTAAAATCCTGAACCTCTGTACACTTGTGGTTTCTCCTGGGAGAGTAGAAAACTAAAATGTCTGTCCATAGCCTAAATCCTTTTTATGCCACTGCTGTGTATTCATATTATTGACCTGTATAACCATAGCAGAGATGATTGTGGTTTTTAAATTGAAGTTTGCTTCATCTTTCTGAATGTTTAGCCTGGTCAGTTAAGCAGTCATACCAGTATATGTCTAAACTTCTCTTCATTTCACATACTAAAATATATAGCCACCAGAAAAATACAGTGATTAAAGAGAAAAAATGGTTAATATTTTCCCCCAGATTTCTGACAATCTGTTGTGAGGGGCCATACAATTGTTGTTTGTTTTTAAATCTTGTACTACTACTTACATACCAACCATGTAAAAAACCAAAACAAAACCCAAAAACCAACAAATATTGTGGTGATAACTTTGAGAAAATGTTTTACAATTTTCAATTTAAGTCTGTGCAGTTCAATATACAATTAACTTTATATAACAAACGTCAGTAATAAACTACACTTTAATCTCATTTTCAGAAGTATTTTAAATAAGCATAGTGAGTGATATTGTGGCAGATATACCAAGGCATAGATTTGACAATATTAAAGAAACTGAGCTTTCAGTGAAAAATTAAACTTTTCTTTAGTGATAGCTTTGATTCTGTGGGAAACAAAGAACATTTTAGGAAGTCCCTGAAAAAAACTTCAGGTAGCATGATAGTGAATAACATGAACATTCCAACAAGTATAATAGTTCCTGTTTGAGAACTCAGTCAAGCTTCGTTTGTGTTTCCAAAGTTCCCACTCAATTCGTAGAAGTTTGGGTTACACAAAAACAAAGATTTATTAAGCCATAAGCTACACTATCTCCTGCTGTTTAACATAAAATTATTTAATGTTTTTTTATTATCAAATCACCATTTTGCATCAATTGTACATAAACAGGGGCTGCACTCACAGCCCCAGCTGCTGTCACTGGTTAGGAACCAGTGAATCACAGTGACCCAGGTGCTGAGCAAGAGGAATTCTCCTCCACCCCATGCAGAGACCTGGGGTGATCAGCTGATCAGCATTAGAGGGGGTCATTAGCCTTGCATTTGACCCCTCCCATGGACACCTCTGTAGGTGGGGCTGCAGGCAGTCGTCTTTAAAATTCTAAGCACCTGCAGCCCAGAAGTGAGGGCCAAAAGTGCTCTGGGATCATGGGATGGAGGTGCACCAGGATCTTTAAAGAGACCACCTGCAACCCCAGATCCCCAGGCAATGGTATTTCTAGATCCCAAGCAGCAAGCACTCCTGGAACTTTAAAGGGCCTAAACGTCTCTGACTGAGCCTCTCAGGGCTCTCCTGGGATGGGGGGAGGTATGGAGAACCCACAGCAGGGGGTTCTGAACAAGTTGCTGCCCATAGCACTTCATTTCTTTGTTATGCTACAATAGTTCAATAATAAATAACATCAGCCAGGGGACCATAAAAAGAACAAGTTATTCCCTAGTGGGCAGGTAGAATTTTGGTCTGAATCAAGCATTATTTAAATCCCTAAATATTTTTTTGTGTGTAGGACTCAACCCTAATTGATCTTCCTATTTCATCCCTAACTATAGTTACAAGGATTTATCAAATGAAAGGAATTAAAAATAGAATACACACTTTAAAAAAAAATCTAATTTCTACTGTCATATTTATGCAAAAATACTCTACAGGGAGACACTGAGATTGAAAAGCAGGTACATTTATTCCTAAATGTGCATTGTGCAATTTTTGACAACCATCAACTTAACTCTTTTCTCTTTCTTGCTGAGCCCATTTGGACAAAAAATCAACAGAAGCTATGTAACAGAGAAACTGAAAGTATATGCATTTTGATAATATAGACAATAGAGGCTTTTAACGTATAAAAACAGAACATATTTAGAAAACCCTAATAGAAAAACTGTTGGGTCTGGAATTTCTGGGTGTTTGGAAAAATTAGCAGTACAATTTTTTAATTCATTCTTGGCTGCTGTGTCATCAGGAAGCAAAGTGTTGGTACATTACTGGTAATTTTCAGCTTCCTTTGCTAGGTCTTGCATTGTAATTTTATTGAGGCAGAGAAGTATTAATCATGGTGTAGCTGCACAATACATCTTATGATCTTATGACCAAATAAAATATATATTTTGAACAAAATAATAGGAACTCACTGGGAGAGTGCTTATATGTATATAGGCACTGTGGAGTGATATATATATATATATATATATATATAGGCACTCTCCCAGTTAGTGTTCAAAATATATATTTTATTTGTTCATAAGATCAGGCGTGTGTGGTCCAGATACTAATGTTGCCTGCTTGGTGTTTTTTGTTTACTGAAATGTTTCTTGCATCTCATGTTAATTGTGCTTTTACTATTATGGTACTGAAGAACAGCATAAAATTGGACCATATATATATATTCCAGTAAACAAAAAACACCAAGTAGGCAACATTACTGCTTTTTCTTGCAGCCTTTCAATGGTGACCTTCTCCCCCCCCCATTAAGATACATAAAAGTTGTACTTACCTAAACAATTGTCTTTATTTATTTATTTATAGTTTCATAATTTCATAGTGCTTAGAGTCAGAAGGGACCTAAACAGATAATCAGGTCCGACCCACCTGTCCCAGGCAGGAACAGGTGCTGGGGTCATATCACCCCAGCCAAATATCTGTCCAGCCTTCTCTTGAAGACCCCCAAGGTAGGAGAAAGTACTACCTCACTTGGGAGCCCATTCCAGAGCCTGGCAGCCCTAAACTGTAAAGTAATATCTCCTGATGTCCAGCCTGAACCTTCTTTCTAACAGTTTGTGGCCATTATTCCTAGTAACCCCCGGTGGTGCCTGGGGGAACCGAGTCTCACGCAATTTCCGCTGGCCCCCCCGGTGAGTTTGTAAATGGCCACCAGATCCCCTCTCAGCCTTCTCTTGTAGAGGCTGAATAGGATCGAGCCCTTTAACCTCTCCTCATAGGACCTGCCCCACTACCCCTTAACCATGCGAGTGGCCCTCCTCTGGACCCCTATATAAATTTTATATATATTTGGTGGCAGAATCAGGGAGAGACCCTGACCCCTTCCCCCAAAAAATAACTGTTAAAGCCAAGCCAAGCCATGTTTGACAGGCAAACAGATTGAAATGACTTCTCTGATCTTAAGAGTCTGAACACAAGGATTGTGTCTTCTTCAGCATAGAAGACACACTATAATCTTACAGTACTTAGCTCTTCTAGCCTAAATGAATACAGGAGACCCTCAGCATTTGCAGGGGATACATTCTCGTATCCCCTGTGAATAGCGAAATCCGCAAATAAGGCACTGCATTCATGAACGCAGTGCCCCTGGCATCTGGGGGAGAGCATGGTTGCACTGGTGGTGGCGGCAGCAGTGGGAGCATGGCGGCAGCACCTGCAGAGCTCCCGAGGTGTTCCTTTAAGTGTATTAAAGTGCAGGTTCAGCATTCACGAATATTTGAAACTGCAAATCCCGAACCTGCGAATAGCAAGGGTTTCCTGTACTTGAAACAAATGTTAATCACTCACTTGATATCCACCTGTAACTTCTACTATATATACTGTTTGTAAAAGTGACCAGCAATTAATGTTAATTGATTAACTGTAATTAATTATCCATGTAATGGTAAGCAGATCTGAGAAATATTGAATGCTAGAATGCCCTACCCTTTTTCAAAGCACCTGCCTCTTTTAGGTAAGATAATAAAGGAACTCAAAATTTTAACATTTAAAATAACCAGATCATTGAATTCCCAGATATTGTAAATAATTAACAGAGGTGAGGAATTTGGAGAAACAAGGCAGGCTGAAATAAGGCTGTCCTGCAAACTTCTATTTCTGGGAGAAGCATGCAGGGTTGGACCAGGAAGTTCTGTGGGAGGACTGTGAGCTTCTGCCTGCTTTATCAGGAAACCATAATATAAGCAGGGATGTGTGTTCTTGTTACAGCCCTTTCCAGTGTGTTTCCACATGAGACACAAGCATAGAATGTTAGATAGTCATTCTCCATAAACTTGAAAGAAATCAGGTTACAAGCTATTCATTTTACCTCATTGCCAGAACTAGCTAGCACAAGCTGCCTTCACCTGATAATGCAGACTGTTATGAAGTTGTTCAGTATGTTACTTTAAAATATTGTTATTCCTCCAAAACATACACAAGTGCTATAAATACATAATAGTTACAAGAAGAAGTTACAAGGAATACAGTCAGTAATGAGTTTATACTCCTATATAAAAAGAGATAACATGAAAACTTAGGACTTATTTTCCATTGGGCAAGAGTGAACAAATCATAAGGAAAGGAAAGGAAAGATCAAGGACATGGGTTTCAAAGAGGGATTTTAAGATAGCTAAAAAGTGATATGTAGGATTAAGGAAACTATTTTATACATAGGGCTTCAGAGTTAGAGAAGATGATGAGAGGAATGGAAAGGCTATAGGTACCTGGAGTTCATACATTTGAATACCCAAAGAGACCTGTGTGATCATCTGACCTTCTAAGCTGAGTTGCTGCAGAAACAATATGATACATTGGATCATACCATAGGAGTATGGGACAGGAAGCAGCCTCATATCATAGAACAGAGCAATATGGGGGACCCTGTATTGCTAGACAAATATTAATCCAGAAGGTGAATGGTCACCACAAAATCATCTACTCAAGCTAATCACACATACCACACTAAAAAAAACCCCTTAAAATATACAGTAGGCAAAGAGCAAGAGAGACGAGGAGGCTATCTTTGGCCATTTCAACAGCAAGAGATTTCTTAGATTACAATATTGTTAGAATAATCCTAGGAAGAGGGCCATACCTTATGTTATATGGGAAAGCCAAAACCACCATACAGGCCTTGCCAGAAGAAAAACTCTATTTTTGGCCCCCAAACTGGCAAACAGTTTGACCCCAGGGTCCCAGTGCTCTCACTCTTTCTCCTGATGGGGTCAAAATACTCAGTCTTGCTTAGGTCAGAGCAGGGAGGTACAATGACAGAAAGCCTGCAAAAACATATTTACATGAATGCACTGGCCCTTACATTCCAAACAGTGGTTCAGAGGGGGTCCTATTTCACCTGATAAAGTGAAATGTCAGAGAGAAAAAGTTGGTAGCAATCTTGTACTGGGATCTAGGGAGTCCATGCCCTCAACCCACATTTACAGGCTGCATGTAGGTGTAATGAATTCCATCTTTTGCTGTTGTCTCAAAATAAAAGTGTTTCCAGAACCTACAGCTAAAATCTTTTACAGCAAGAAGCCTACAGTTAGGCTCCTAAATACTTATTTTGACATCAATATCTTTCAGACCTTCAAAAATAACTGATCACTAACAACTCTCATTAAGATAAATATGAACTGCAGGGCATTTAGCAGCAGCAGTAGCTGGTTAGCCTCACTCCCCAAGTCTGGCTGGTCATTTGTAATTGCAACTGAATTGGGACTTATTGATATGTGCTCAAAGGTATCTAGTAATAGCATGAAGAATAGCAGAAGCTAACTTTTGTGACCAGGAAGATTCTTTTTGTTCCTGCGAATCTCTTCCTTGAAAGTGCATTAAAATGAGACAATTGATAGAAATTTCATCAGTCAGGAAGCTTGTACCTCACTTGAAACACTTTCATGGAAGATAAGCTTCAGGCTGAAGTTTGTAAATGACAAATTATTGACTAGGTGTATATAGACTTACTGAAAACCCCGAAGTTATAGAATCTTACCACTGCCTCTAAATGTTTATATCTCTACACTTCTACAACATATTTATGCCCACTCTCTCTTATGTCATTTAGATCCTTCACTTTTGTTGAATACTGCTGAAGGGTTTTGTGTTTTTTTTCTTCCTGCAATGCCTCTTCTTATCTTTTCAATTTGGCACCTCTGCAATGGCTTAAAACACTTTCAAGTTAATGATAATCTCACCTCCCATATGTAATATACAGTAAGTGCTGTGGTATGTCATAGAACATTAAGGAATGGAAATTGTAGCTGGAGAATGTTTTCCTACTCTGAATATTCATATTTTTCTATATTATTAATATTAAGGGAGAATTAATCTAGCTACTACTTGGATTGTTCTCCTGAGATTCTAAGATGTTTTCTTCTATATGGGTCCAGTTTGCCATTGTTAGCCATGCTGAGTAACCTGTTCCTTCAGGAGTAACACCACTGTGACACTACCTCCAAAGTCACCTGGATAAGGATGGCAGAATAAAGCACAGAATTGGGTCACTTCAAACCTGTTCACCCCTTAATTTGCAAGGTTGTCCATCATAGTACTAGAGGCCTGAAAAAGGGGCCAGACAAGATTTTGTTTTACACTGGCTATCAGTGTACAAAATTTGTAACTTGATGTGACTAAATAATTAGTTCCTTTGGGAATGGAGTCTCTCCCCCATTGGTTTGAAACCATTGCAACCTGCAGAAAGGAAATAGACTCATAGTCATATAGAACTGTGAAGAATTTCACAAGAGCAGTTATTCTACCCCTGGTCAAAGTAGGATTACTTTGCTTATTTTTTTAAGTGACCTAAGCTAACTCTGAAATTAAGTCAACTTCCCTAAAAAACAGATTCTTTTCCCCTCCGGCTACTTGCCTCGCAATGCCGGCATCCCCTGGCACCTGCCTTCATCCTAGTGCCTCCACCCCCCACCACCTCTGCCCCACATCTGCTCTTGCCCAGCTCCAGCCTGGCTGCTTTGGCCTGAGCCTGCCTTGGCACCACCAGTAGTGGTGGCAGCTCTGGATGACAAACTGCCGTCCTTCCCATCGGAGTGTTCTGCTTCAATATACGAGATAATGCATGACCAAGGCCATCATTAGTAATGGTAGGCTGATTTCAGAAATCTGTAGACTTCATGATATAATGCAATAATGTTGTACATATTCTTTTATCTATACAATAAGCGTCCATACATAAGAAAAATAAACAACTTTCCCTACCCCAAGATTGTGAACCATATGGTGAAACAGGGTCCTTTTTTGGCAAACCCATACAAGCATAAGCAAAATGCAATAAGGGCTGTTAACGGAAGGGGTATAAAATGAAAAATTGGGACTTTAAGATTAGCCCTTTCAACACAGCTTTACTGAAAGCACTCTGAGTCTACTGCTTGGAATCTAACTGAATAGGAACATATATCCATCCTGTTGGGCAAAGTCTTAGGAATGAAGTACATACCATGGATTGAATCTTGCATTTAAACAGACTATCTACAGCATTACCTGATTTTTGGAGGAACAAAAAAAACAACATCCGGTCTTTGAGTCTGCACTTCTTTCCAGTTACCATGAAAAACATTACCATTTTTTTATTCTTAAATTTATTTTAGTAATTTGTAAAGCAAATGGTAAGCTAGAATCATCCCTTGGATAAGAACTGTGGGGCTAGTTTAATGGATTCCATTTTTCCACTAAATTTTTAGAGAACTATTTAAAAAGCAAGTACATAGGGGAACAGATCTATATACATTCTAGGATTTAGGATTTGAATTACTGCATAAAAAACAAGTAAAAAAAAAAAAGCAGTCATTCTCATTTTAAAGAAAAGTGCGTGAAAATGCTGAAGATATCACATTTAGACAGTCTTCTACTACTTCTGACTCAGACAGAATACTTCAGAATGATTGTCAGTTTTTCTCTTTAGTAGGCATTCCCCTCCCCTCTGCTTCCTGGCTGCAGCTCCATCAGAGACTGCAGGAACAGGGTGTCTGCCTGGCTTCCTCCTGCTTCCCCCCTCGCCCTCACCACTCCCTGATTCAGGCAGTTTTTCTCTTTAGTAGGCAAGTACTACTTTAATGCACAGTAGCCTATTTTACTGTGCATTAATGCGCCACATTAAAAAAAATGCAATTATGCTAATACATAGTAAAATAAGCTACTGCACATTAAGGCTAGGGACAGATATTACACATACACTGGTTTAAGTGATCAGAAACTGGTTTAAACCTGTAACAGAACAGGTTTCAAAATAGCTGAAACCAGTTTGAAATAAACCTGGTTGAACGTAGTATCAGACTTAACTGATTTGGCTCAAACTGGTTTATGCAATGTCTGTCCCATACCCTTTCCTGGTTTATGTTAAATCAGAATCCTCCAGCATCCCAGTTGCTTTGCTGTGCTGGGCATGGCTCTGCTCTGTACTCCAGCCCAGCAGGCCTGGCCCCTCCCCTCTGCTTCCTGGCTGCAGCTCTGGCAGAGACTGCAGGAACAGGGTGTCTGCCTGGCTTCCTCCTGCTTCCCTTCTCCCCCTCACCACTCCCTGCTTCAGCAGGGATTCCCCCCTCCCCTCTGCCTTACATAGACACCTCTCAGCATGAATTAGCATACCACATGCTGGCTATGGTCCATGCTGTGGGAGACAGGACAAAGGCAGACAGGGCAGAGTTGTCACAGGGCTCTTTGGAGCTAATCAACAGGTAGCTGGTAATGTCCCACCTTGGAAAAAGTTGTTCAAGAAGAGCTTCAACTAATAAAAAATCTTTTTGTTTTGATGATGGGCTGATAAATGCTCCCTGTGTAACTTCCTGGTGTGTAAGTAAATGTTGTGTAAATCCCTGCTGGCCCTTGCTGACTAGCAAGGGCTGGGGAGGGGGTGGGGGGAGACACCCCTCCCTATTCAGAGTATCCCGCCAGGGCCTGGCCATGCCTCTCAGCTCAGCATTGTGAAAGGGAAGGGAGGGCTGTTCTAGTGGCCCCTGGCTTCTGGTCTGAGCCACTGCAGACAGGTGCCTGCATTTTTTCAATCCAAAGGAGATGTCTGTACAGTTACAGACTGATTCAGCTTATCCAGGTTAGATTAACCTGAAAAGATTGAATCAATTCAGGCTCAGGTTTTTTGAATATATGTCCCTAACCTAAGGCTCACTTTAAAATCATGATCTTTCGGTACTGTGTATTAGGCTGCCCTCACATTGGAGGTAATAAATGTAATGCTTATTAGGAAAAGCGTATGAATGCATGTGTAGACATGCCCAATTATAGTCAAACCTTGAGGCCTATATGGAATTGAGTTGTGCCCAGTGAACTCTGCTTGGTACTATTGCACACTCAAATCAGTTAAAAACAACAACAACAAAAAGGTCTAAAAACTTGGACTATGAAGCAGTCTGACCAGAAACTATGAAATCCCATTACTGGTGGGAGTTTAACTTTAAAAGAATCCATCTGCACAGAGTCCCATTGAAAGTCTGAACTTGGAATGTGAAGAACACTATAAAATTTAAATGAGTAACATAAGAATTCTCATCTAACTACAATTTTCTTTTTTCCCAGGGTTCACCAGGTGAACGTGGAACAGCAGGTACTGCTGGTCCAATTGGTCTGCCAGGTCGCCCAGGTCCCCAGGGTCCCCCAGGTCCAGCAGGAGAAAAGGGTGCTCCTGTAAGTAACTGCAAGGCAACCACACATAGAATTGCTATAGTACAGAAGTGATTATTTCTTATTCAAGAATATTATTTTTCACACTTCAGTACATTCCTATTGAATATGTGTCCAATGTACTTGCCTCACTCCCTTTTTATTTACAATATTGTAAAACTGAAAAATGAATTAAACCAAATGACATTTTTCTACATTTTTTGAAGCCACAACACATAAGACTAAACAAGACATAACATTATTAAACACAATATGGGTAAATCTGCTCTGAAACATTTCATCAAATTTTAGTTTTGATTAAAACTTCATATCCAGCTGCATTGTTTTGGAATGCAAATTTATTTACCATTTTATTGCCAAATTTTAATAATGTTTACTACACTTTTCTAATGTATTCACAGAAATAGTTGCTTTTCTGGTGTTTCTTTAGGATCTGTTATGATCATAGAATCCTGGAAAAGTAGGGCTAGAAGGGGCTTCTGGAGGTCAACTTGTCCAATCTCCTGCCTGAGGCAAGATTGTCCGTATCCAAACCATCCAAAGCAAATCTGTGTCTGATCTGTTTCTAAAACTACACATGCAACCCTGTTGCACAACCACAAAACATAGTATCCTAAGCTGCCTGAAGTAAAGCAGGGGGAGTTGGCCAGTGTCCTGCTGCTGCAAGGTTTTTAAAAATATGTTTAAGAGATCCAAGGAAGAGGGCCATGCCCCCCACTGCAGAGGAAGGCAGAACCCCTACAGTCCATACCAATCTGACCATAGAGTAAAATTCCTTCCTTACCCATTGTTATAAATTAATTTGATTGTTCATTTTTTTTAAACTCATGCTATTTTTATTTTAAGATCTGAACTAATACCTGTTCAATAGTTTTCTTTTTTCCCCCTCTTTTGGCATTATTTCTTTTTTCTTTCACCTGAACACCTCAAGAACATTTTGAAAATGTGAAAGAAAAGATAATGAGATGGTTTACATACACAAATGTCAGGCATCTATACAAGTGCTACTGGGTGGAGGGGGGTGGTGCTTTAATTAGAGTAGCTCGCAAGCAGCCATAGCGTCATGTGTATTCAGCATCCCACACTTCAAAATGGCTGCAGAGGTCCTTTACCTAAAGCTTGTTCAATGAGCTTTAATTAAAGTGTCCCCACCGCCATTTTGAAACATGGGAATGCTGAATACACATGATTCAGCTGCTGGAGCTAACTTTGGCAGATATGCAGAAGACTCAGTTAATTAAGTCTGCTGTGATGTGTGCTAATTAGCATGCATCAGAGCAGAGGTTTGTCACGTGTATAGGTGTCCATCATCTGCCATTCAGTGTTGTTATAATATGCCATGAACTCGAGGCACCTACATACCCGGTAAAAACTTGCTACAATACAAAAAGAGCACCTCTGCCCCATATCTGCACACCTACCACCCCACACTTTAACTGATGAGAAGCCTCATCAATTATAACCTATACTTAAAAAAGACAAGCCCCACCACTCCTGGCTTTCAAACAACCCATTAGGCTTACCCAGCTCACCATCAGAAACAAACTCCCAGATGTTCAACCAACATCCAGTGGGGCACAGCTTGGCCTTAACAGTAGATGCTTGACCTGGAGATGCATTAACAATAGATGCATCTCCACTGCTACAACAATCAACATCGCCCACAAGAATCCAATCAGAATCCATGAATCCTACACATGTCTATCCCAAAATGTGGTATATTTCATCCAGAGCATCAGATGCCTTCATGCAAACTATGTGGGTGAAAGTAGATTAAAACTATGCACTAACATGAATGATCACAGGAAAAAGATTATAGACAGACACACCAACACATGTAGGAGAATGAACCACTACTTGCTTTCTGACCTCACTATCCTTGTGCTCAAGGGAAATTTACAAAACACCGTTAAAAGGCAAGCCCAGGAACAAAATTTCTAGACACTAAGGGTCAAGGACTGAACACTGATATTGACTTCATGGCATTTTATAATCCACCTGACTTTGAATAATCTTTTTTCTCACAATCTGTCTTCATACTACAGGTGATAACAATCCTCCTTCCTTTTGAAAGGTCTTGATCTTCCACTAATCAAGCTATCTTTTCATCTGTGATTTGCATGCCTATTACCCCTGGGAACTATTTTGTCTTTCAGTTCCACATCCCTGTAAACTGTTTTAAAAATTTCACGGTGCCTGCTTTTTTCTCAGAACTCAAGAAGAATAAATTATATTTGAAAGCTTGTCCAAGGGTATGGATAGACATATCATGTAAACTGTTCCAAAAATGTCACTTACTGGAAACCATTTCACAACTGGCCCCAGGTCAGAGGTGTCTGCATATACACTGCTAAGGGTTCAGTTAGGTATTGTAGTGCTGTGAAACCACCAGAAGGCAGGGGCAGTAAGTACTTAGTCAAATTGCAAATTTCTGTTCCCGCTCTGCACTGCCATTGAGTACATTAAAGGCCCACTTCTGTACTTTACTGAAATGTGTGTGCTGATACCCTGACTGGGAATATTTAGGTGCGTGCGTAGGATGCAGGAGCTGCCTGGAACCCTGCTTCTGGGTTCCTAGGGGGCTGGGTACTTCAGAGCTTCCAAAATTTTCATGGCTTTTAAAGAACTCTTTTCCTCAAGCCACTCATTAGTTTATATCTGACCAGGGTTCAGTGTATTCCAGAATTATTTGGACTAGGGTGGCTAGGTGCAGGATTGGTTGCCTAGACCCCTGTTTCTATGTGCCTGTGGGCTAGGAGTAGCTCCCTGCGACTTCTAGAGAGCTGTTACATTTTCCTTCCAGTGGTGGCAGTAAAGTCCTTGGGTAGTCCCCCAAGAGCCCTTAGCCCCTAGGCATACAGAATCCAGGTAGCCCTCTTCTTTCCTCCCACACAAATCTAGCCACTTCTCACCCCAAATAAGCTTGGGATGCACCAATCTCTGGTCAGTTGTCACCAGTAGAAGAAAATTGAACAGCTTTTTAAAAGCAGTAGGGAGCTACTCCCAGAGCCAGGGACACTGCAATCAAAGGCAGGCAATAGAGGTAGGAGCAGTAGAGTTCTGGTTGGTTTCCAAAGAAGTAAGTTGCCATGTGGTGGCTGAAGTAAGGAATGGGAGGGTAAAAAGCAGTGCAGTGTGCAATGCCTGGAGGACTGACAGGATACTTTTTACTATCTTGGGGTCTGCAACATAACACTGAATTGGTTCACAGAGAACAAATTCAAAATAACACGATTATCCTGGGAAACTTTTGAAAAGGTTCAGGAGGTTTAAACCATTGTAAACTAGCTTGTACACCTGGATCCTTGCATTTTAAACTACATTTAAACAGGTCTAAGTGATATGTTTGTCTGTACCCGGTCTATTGCAAATATGCAGTTAGTCCAATAGAAGATAACAGCCACCAAAATCCCTGCCTTTTCTAAAGAAACCTCTTGTATTTCATGCTGAATCTCAGCATCAGTAATTTATTTACAAGTTCTATTGCAAGACAGTTCACTGAGGAATTTAGGAACCATATTTGCTGCTGTATCTAACTTCTACCTGGGTGCATCTACACATGCAGTTACAGCAACTGAATAAACTGTTAATTTTATTAACTGTTAATAACTCCAGAGTTATTTTTTCCCAGGTGCTCTGTTCAAATGGTGTGCCCAAGAGCAATAAGCTCCGCAGTTGATTCAGGTGCAGCATGTGGAGCCAGGACAGAGTATCCCTTGCTGGCAGGGGACCCAAGGGCATTGGTGACACGTAGGGGATGCATGAGAGTGCACGTGCACCCCCTGAGAGCACCAGTGCACCCCCTCATCTGTTGCACTTGCCACTTAGGCAATGGGCAGGAGGGGGGGTGGTCCCGCCACCCCCCCCCCCCCCCCCAGCAAGCACCAGCTGATTGCTGCAGCTGCTCCCAGAAGTGGCTGCAGCAGCTGCAGCAATCAACCAGCAGTGATCTCAGGTGCAGAGTAAAACAGTTTCGAAACTGGTCTAACATGCACCATCTGCCAGCTAGGAATCGCTACTAGATGCTGGACATTCTTTCTTCCAGCATGCCCATACTTTGCGCTAAAAATGATGGACAAGGCAGACTGCCAGCTATAAGCCTACTAAGGATTTCTTCCATGCCAGGAAAAATAGCCAGGGGTTGTTCTCTGTGCTGTTCTTGTGCTGTGAAACTAGGAAAGCCAAAATGTTGCCTATACATGAACAATTGGTTGGGGCAGCACTTAAATGGTTAATAGCACACAGTATAAAGACAATTAACTGTAATTCATTTAAATGAGTTATGTGGAACATAAACAATTAGACACAAAGACTAAGTTAACTTCTAGTATTAACTCTTGTGCAATCACAAAGGGTACAAATTGACACGTAGTGGCAATAAAATGTCATTGGCAAGTTTTCATTTGATCTTTCTGTTTTGTGATTTACTGAAATTCTTTTCTTATTATTTTATAGCCCTTACAACATATATGTAAATATCTCTGCATGTTGTTATATGGCAATGTATATACTATTTGTTGAAGTTCAATCCCATAACATCAAATAATTAATTATTCTCCTTTGATCAGACTGGTAATATTTCTTTTTTCAACACCAGGGTGAAAAGGGTCCTCAAGGTCCAGCTGGACGTGATGGAGTACAAGGTCCTGTAGGTCTGCCAGGTCCTGCAGGGCCTGCTGGTTCTCCTGGAGAAGATGGTGACAAAGTCAGTCCTTATAGTTTGATTTTATGGGTCTGCATAGTGATTTGTGTACAAAAATGAACTTGCTGTAGATTTCTACAGGCTAACTGCTATGGCTACACAACCTTTTAAAAAAGCCCAATGTATGAGAGATAGATATTACAGGAAACCAAGATTTCTGTCTAAGAAATAATAGACTAGGATTTATACTGACAGAAAAGAGAGGATGAAAATGTAGCAAAACAATCTAGGATGTTTGATATTAAAATTGATATTTGGCTATTTAAAAAAAAAATCCTCAGTGAATAAGCAAGATAAAACTTTTCTACTAATATGTAGTCATTTAGTCCTGCTGATGGTGAGATAAGGTGCTGGACCTGAATGTTTACAGCGTAAACCCTAAAGTCTAATTATGCAAGGTTTTCTTGACTTCAGAAAGAGTTGAAGGCAACATAAGCATCTCTCAGTATTGAGTTGCAAGCTTGGGTTTGGTTTAATATTTTCCTTTTAAACAAGCTTTCAAGTTTTTAACTAATGTCACTAATACAAAAATCAGAACTTTGTTTGTAATACATGATTGTGTTGTTATGTAAGCCAGAGAAATGAATTACGTTAAATCACACAAACTGTCTTTTATTATTGTACTAAATAAGAATATCTCCAGACATGGCATCTGGGGTAATATGACTTAAGCTGAGGTTTTCAAAAAGTATGCACAACAATGAGAAGCAATTGTTTCTCAGTCATGTGCAGTTAGATTAGCTATAAATTAGAGTACAGTCATAATCAGTTCATAATTAGGTTGCCTTTAAAACAGGACAAAACAAAACAAAAATAGTTTCCTGTATTTAAACCCACTTGCAGTATACTTCAAAGCCAGGCCATGGTACAGTTTGTACTATAAAAATCAATACCTTAATCCGTCTTACTAACATGACTGATGGAATAATGTTGTAACTAAAGTATAAAACTTGTAGTATATTCACATTAAAAGTGGCATTTAAAGATGCTATGATATTGACTGCAGTTAAATAGGAGATAAGCTATTCTAATGCATCAGCTTAGCTTCTGGCTTTCAATTACAGGGAGAAATTGGTGAACCAGGTCAGAAAGGCAGTAAAGGTGACAAGGGAGAAAACGTGAGTATCTTAACTGTTTTGTCCCATGTATTGACTTCTTCTTTCTACTGAATTTGAATTAATTGCTTTACATCTCAATCTAACAAAAAGTTTTGATGCATCACACAGGGGTGTGTCTCATGTACTTCCACAAATTGAAACAGAAACAAATTTCAATAACACCATGTTACTTAATTACATCTATGAAGTATATTATATATAATTTTTAAAAAATGTCTACGTTTATTTATATAATAAGTATTCTCTTATATTTTGTTAACTTAGATCATAATTTATAGATGGGTAAACTAGAAGGCAGAAAAATATCAAAATGTTTTTGTACAAATATACATTACTATTAATATATTTGAGTAGTAAACTTTAGGAGTCAGCATGGAAGTGTATTCCATAATACAGCTTTATTGCATATCCTTATCAAGCTTTAAATTGTTTTACTGGTAAGACAACTTCATTGATTTTGGAGTTTTAGTTCAGGTAGACACTCATAAAGTGAGCTGTTTTATATAAACTTTCAGATGTCTTGAGTTCATTCCGGGCTCACTGAAATCAAAAGAAAGATTCCTCCCCTCCCACCTACTGATTTTGATAAAGCTGGTTCAGATTGTAATATTTTGCAGATTTATGTAGGAGTTTAAGCATTTTCTTCTTTCAATCACCCACAAATATCTCAGGAATAACTTTCCCCATATTATCTCAATAATTTCCATCATTCTGATAAATATATGCCAGATACTGTGGAGGATCAGACCAAAGGTTCATCTAGTCTAGTATCCAGTCTCCAACACTGGCAAGTAGCAACTTCATTAGAGGAAGAACATAAGAAATAGATCTTTCTTAACATGCTCGATCTTCTGTCTCATCCTCTCAGTCACAATCCATAGGTTACATTTCTACCTGCTTTTAATAGACAAAAGGACCTATCTTCCATAAATTCATGTAATTCCTTCTTGAACTGGGCTATGCTATTGGCTTCCATAGCATCCTGTGATAATAAGTTGTGCATGGTGTTATGTGTCGTGTAAAAAAAAAAAAAAAAAAAGTATTTCCTTTTGTTTATTTTAGAATGACTGCCTGGAAATTTTGTTGATCCCTCTAGTTCTTGGGTGGTGAGGCATAGTAAATAGCACTGTCCCAAAACCATTCACAATTTTATAGAACTCTATCACATCCCCACTCCCAAGTCATCCTAAGCTGAAGAGACCTAGCCATTTAATTTTCTCCTTGTATAGCATCCCATGCCCTTGGTCATCCCTTTTGCCTTTCTCTGTCTTTTTCAATCTCTATTATATCCCTTTTGAGACAGGGTGAGCAGAACTGCCCACAATATTAAAGACGTTGGGTTATATAATGGCATAATATTTTCTCTTTTGTTTCCACTTGTTTTTCCTAATGATTCTTAACATTTTATTTGCCTTTTTGATCACCAGTGCATAATGGGCCAATGTCTTTAGAGGACTCTCCACAATGACTCCAAGTTCTCTTTCTTGAGTGACAGCAACTAATTCAGAGCCCACCACTGAGTATGTATGTATAGTTAGGATTATTTTTATATACTCATTGGCAGGTTCCATTATTTTAAAGTTACTGATTAGTGGTGGAAGAAAATAAACAGACAAACCCCAATATTTTCACTTCTATTCAAGTTCAGTAAATTTTTAGGTCCGTTTTGTGTGAACAAGTTCCTTAATTAATGAAGGGAAAGTCATTTCAGATAAATTCTTGATTCCATTATACTTTGAGTAGGAGAGTGAGGTAAACTCAGGGTAAGTGTAGCCTATTCAGTCATTTGAAGCATATTTATAATCCTTGTCATAAGGAAAGGTAGGCGTTTATTATGATTAATAGTGTATTTAGTATCACAGAAATAGATTGTTTCTAGCAGCTGCCAAATGCATGATTGGCTGTATCTTCACATGAAGCACCATCTTGTTTGAATACTATCCATACAGTAATTAGTGCTTTTTATAATAATTTCATAGAAACATATATAGAAAGCAAAAAAAAAGGAAATGGCTATTTTTTAAAATACGCTTGTCCTTTTGCTATTAATTCACTTGAAAGAACTTGAAAACACACTTGTGAGATCTAAGGAAGTAGGCCATGACCCTTGCTACATAGGAAGGCAGAAAAAAACACACAGTCCATGCCAGTCTGAAGTTGGGGTAAAATTATTTCCTGATGCCAGATGTGGTGATCAGTTTAACCCTAAATGGAAGGGCATGACCCTCTAAGCAAGAACCTCAAGGTTTTCCTCCCAGTATGAGCATTGCCAAACCACAGTCAAAATCCCTATCTATGGCTGAAGCCAACAGCAAATGCTTCTGAGAAAGTAGAAAAAACCCTGACACTGTAGCAAAGGGCAATGGAAAAAATTGCTTCCCAGACCCATATGTGAACCAGCAATACCCAGAAGCATGAGAAAAACCAAACAGCTTTCACTGTCCTGCAACCTGAAAAGAGCAAACACAACTCCACACATTATATCCTCTACCTGGAGAGTTGGAACTCCCCTTTCTGTGATTAAACCCCCTCCATAAACTTTCCCAAGCTCCTTTAATCTTTTTTTATTACTAAGCCAGCTATAGAGCTCTACTTCATTCTCCTGCTGCTGAGCATGGTCCTCTCCACTAGTCACCTGCTCTGGGCTGCAGAGCTCTTTTCATGATCCCTTCATATGTGTGTGTGGGAAGAGGGAAGGGGCAATGTAGAGTTCCTGGGCAACTTCTTTAGACCAGCGGTCAGCAACCTGCATCCCACTGACCAAATTTAGCCTACAGCACCTAAGAAAATTGGTGGCATGCTCCAACCCCAGCAGCAAAGGTGGTGCCCCTAGAGTCCTACCACTTGCCCAGTTTAGCATATTCTCTATGCTGCAGCAGAGGCAGTATCCCCAGGTCCTAGCGCCTGCCTTTTTCTATCTACTGACCTTACAGTATCTGCTGATGGATGGAGAAAGTGGCGCTACAGTCCATGGCAGGGGCTGGGTTGTAAGCAGTGGCCTATTGTGCCAAAAAGGTGGCCACCCCCTGCCTTAGACAATTAGTTCCACTGTCTCATTGTTCTAACAATGAGAGAGGTTTTCCTGATATCCAGTCTAAGTTTACTTTGCTGCAACTTCAAGCCATTAGTACATGTCCTACTCTCTGCAGCTGTGGAAAAGAGGTATTTCCCCTCATCGTATTGATGGTCCTTCAGATGTTTGAAGTTTGCAATCATGCCCCCTCTTAATCACCTTTTCTGCATTCTGCAGATGCATCCTTCTTTCAACCTGTCCTCATGTGGCTTGGCTTCTAAGCTCTCTCTTATTTTTGTTTCCCATTTTGAACCCTCCCTATTGTCTCCGTGCCTTTTAAAAAAATTGGAGCACAAAGCCACTTTTGGGGTTATGCTTATTCTCAATCTAATGGTAAATATTTGAATGAGCCTGAAAAAAAATCCATTTGGTAATTTTTCGGTTCACAAGTGAAAACATTTATTAAAACCATTCATTTTTAGGCGCAAGTTTTGCTTCGTTGTTAATTGATGTGGTTAGTATGTTAGTGATGGATCCAGCCTGAACAGGCAAAGATGCCTCCAACCCACCAGGCTGGAAATAAGTATAACTCTCAGATAACCAGCATATTTGATTAACCGGGACCCCCCCATCCCCCATGGATGCCGGATAACAGAGCTTTTACCATAACTGCAGAATAATTGCTGGAAAATTATATTGTATTCATGGTTATAGCAAGGGGTGAGGCTTTCATGAGTATGTGAAGTATTTTGCCCATTGAAATTCTTAGTTTAGTCTGCCTGGGTTGTATTGTATTCATTTAAAGGTGTTGGATGCTAGAGATGCAATTTATCTTAACCATTGAATTAGGTTTTGCCTGCAACAATACCCATTCAGGTCCAATGACTTAAGAAGACATACTTATTTGAAACCCATCTCCACCCCCACCCCCAAACTAAGATGAAGGCATAAGGGAAGTAATAAGTAGAATGTGTTCACTGGCCTCCTCACTGAAAGTATCTGAAGGAGATAGGACAAATGCTTGTACTGAAAGTCTTTGGATATAGCAAGGTAAAAGACATCAGGTCCCTGAAGTTATCAAAAGCTTAGGTGGGGAAGATGGGGCCTTTGGGAGTAGGGAGTCTTAAGTAATAAAGCATAAGGCCCACATTTTCTTTCTACATCTTTTTTTTTAGAAGCAATTAGATAAAGTCTTTCATACTCCCACTAAACTCATAGAACAAGGATGGAAGGAATGATTTATAGTTTGCAACTATAAATATTTGGGTGATATTCAACAAGAAGTCTGTATTGATGACTGTCAAGAAATCTCTGTCTGCCAAGTATAGCTATTCTTTACATACATCCCCATTTCCAGTGCAAGAAGTTCTACAGACTTCAGGACTGTGAGCAAATTGTTACAGAAGCCTACTCCTGTATACTTCTATATACAGGCTATACTCCTTTCTAGGGATTCAACCCTGCCACAAAAATACTCACATAACTGTTATGACCTATCCCTGCTCTTTTTGTGTCCCAAGAGTGAAAGAGAGAATCTTTCAAGATGTGAATAATGGAGTGCAAACATAAAAAATGATTAACAAGGGCTTAAATAGGACTTAAGAGATACATAGGCACTGAACCAAGGTGAGTTCATCCTTAGAGTACAGAAGTAAAGTCTGGTATTTTCAGTGGAGTCTAGTGCATTTGGATACATTTGCTGCATACTCTAATGTATCCAGATTACATCCATTAGCTGCAGCCTGCCAGGCTCTTGGAAAATACATAATAATATCTATCTAAATGTTACTAAAGAGACAGAAAAATTTTGCCTTCCCCAGTGCCATCCTAGTATGCATGGACTAAATCTTAAACTCATCACTACAACAGAGAAAAACTGGGCAGAAAAATATCATAGTTGTTTAAACACATAAAAAGCTGTGATTTGTAATTCAAGACCCCATGGAAAGTAAGATGTTTTAAAATGCAAAAAAAATCCCAATAAGAG